CGGGCACATTTGTAACAGCAGGATCAGGCAGTCAGGATTGTAATGGTATTTGAGAGATGGCCATTGCATTGTGATTTATTAGAGAACAAGTCAGCAGCCCGTGGAGCCTTACAACCCCGTGGGACAGGTCGAGTAAAATTCAAAGTCCATGCCGCTTGGCACAGTGGTGAAGTGCTGGTTGCATTTGTTAGAGGTCCTTTGTTTTGATACTTGCATGTCTCTTTTCCATTACTCATGTTCAAGTCCAGTCATCATCTGATAGGCATGAAAGGCAGACTGGCCCAGCTAGCAGAGCTGCCACTTTGTTCCTGAGACGTTAGAGGTGTTTCTTCACACCATGAAGTTGCATCAGTGTGTGACAGCATTGCTTCATCCCATTGTGACACAAGGTCACCATGTATTGACCTGATGACAAGGTCACATCACTGACTTTGAGTGGTCCAAACCAGTGCAGGCTCTAAATTATCTGGGAGCCAGGCTTGTAGGACACTGGCCAGACCCATGGATATCAGACAGACTTACAACTTCAGCTACTGGATGGCTAAGAAATGATCCTTCTGAGCTTCATCTTGAATACTAATGCAAAGTCCACCTGCTGGCATCGCAACAGTGACGATGTCTGAAGACGTGGTGGGTAATCTTTCTGCCAGCAAGCAGTATTGCCTTTTCCATTTCTATTTCACTGCATCTCACATGTCCTGAGATGGAGAGATGACTCTGCTGCCTTGGTCAGATTTGCACAAAGCCTGCAAAGAGTGGGTTGCTTGATATCTGCTTTACACTGAAATAATCTGAACACCCTGCCCTGCCCAAATCTCTCTGGTTAGAAAGTGGCTGTGGGATCCCCCATGTTCAGTAACAGTCCAGGAGAGTACATTCCTGGGCTGTGCCCAGCACATCTGTTTTCATGTGTAATGCATATTTTACCTCTGAAATCTGTGGTATGATTTATAGTTTGCTTGGCTGTATGTGGTATGCACGCAGCAGGCATCTATCTACGTGGTGCATAGGGTATGTCTATACTGTCCCACTGAGAGTGCAAGATTCAGCTAAGGTTCAGACGAGGCCTTTCGCTCACTATGGGCAGCTGTGTCCCCCAGGTGTGATCTGAAGGGTGTCTCTACCCCTCTCAGCCACAAAGAACTGTACTTAGCTTTCCACAGCTGGAAGTGACACTTATATCATGTCACAGACCATTTGATTCCCCCCACATTCCAGTCTTGGGTGTTGGTGCATAGAAACCAAGGGCCTTGTTCTTCTCCTGTGCTCGATGGGCATGCAGTTCAGAAATGCCAGCTCTTGGCAAGTGGGGTCCTTGGGTTACATAATGGGAACCTCCCATGGTTTAAGCAATGGGCCCGTACTCCCGTAATGTGATGTGTAAAATGAGTTCTAATATCCAGCATTCCACCGGTGGCCCTTTGAATTGGAAAGGAAAAAACCTAGTCTCTGCTTGCATTGTGCTTTCCACCGGGGAGCTGAGAGCCGCCGTGGCATGCTGGCTTCTCCAGCTGTAGATGACTAAATGTAGCCTGGCTGTGTGGGCTGCCTGCAGTCCAGCCAGAATATTCCTGCTATCTCTTCCCATAAACACTGCAGCCTTTGTCTTCTGCCTTATCGTGCCTTTAACATAACACAGAGCTGTTACTGTGCTCTCTCTGGAGCAAAGTCCCCTCTCTGTTTTAGGGGGTCTTTGCTTCAACCCTCTCATTGTCCCCCCCGTATTTATTGTGCTGGCTGCAGGGCATTTATATCGGAGAAAGGAGGAGATGCCCCCATTTGTGAAGGTTTTATAAATGTATTGCATTCTCCAAAGAGCTGCTGAGCAAACAGTGTGTGGTCGTCATTAACTCTTCAGTGCCATGCAGGGCTAAAATGCAAGAGCCACCCTGGGGCTTTCTCAGTGTGTGGAAAATTGTTTTGAGAGAATTTGGAATTTGCCTGCGGTGTAATGCAGCAGCCATGCAATCCTGCAACATGATTGCTTCTGATCCAAGCGCTGAATTCTAGGGTTTGCTCTCCCTTTGGTGTTCTCTGCCCTTAGAATTCATAAGAGCTTTGTTTGTGTCCCTGGAGAAAGGCTTCCAAATTCTGTAAAATGTAATTGATTCTAGCCCTCACTCAGGGACAGATCCTGGAACTCCCCTCTGCTGCAAGCACCTGGCTCACTGTGACCCTGTTGTGTGGCTGTATTCAACGTTTTCCTTCTACATCTCTTAAATGATATCAAAACCATAAGACCCATGTCCTCTGTGGAATAGCACTTTTCTGTTGTGGAGTATGTGTCATACAAGGCCAGGTAGCTTGAGGAGTCAGGAATTCCATGAATTCTAATCCCAGGTCTGCTACTGACTTCCTTTTTCTCCTTAGGCAAGTCACTTAACACCTCTGTCTCCATTTCTCTACCTATAAAATAGGAGTAATAGTTTCCTTGTGTCATGCCACCTGTGCCAGCCTTAAACCGCTTCTTTTCCTTTCATCATTCCCTTGATAACCCTTCCATGGCTTTGAGCACCCATGATGTTTCTCTCCGGCACCCGCGGATTCTGTGTTCCAAAGTGTAGTTAAGACTGAGAGCTGTGACTAACAGCCCATTAGGAGGACTGTTACAATAGTCCTCCTAATGGGCTGTTACAAAGTTCGATGGAATAAATGGGCCAAAGGTGTTAACATAATCCAGTCACTATCCAACATTAAACAGTGTTAAACAAGGTCCGGGGCATGATATAGAGACCTTATCAATATCATGTCAAACACACCATTAAAAATCATTTTAACCTTTTATTAAAGATAAAGAAAAGAAGGAAAAACAGTTAAAACATTTGAAATGTAAAGTATTAAGTAAGGCTTTCATTTTGACAACATCCCTTTTAGCTGGAGTTTTAGAAGGAAAAACTCCTGTGTTTGACAGTTTCTTAGATGGTAATAACTGTCCTTTGTGGAAAAGAGAAGAAGATGGTTGAGTAGGGTTGTCACCCATTCGGGTTTTGGCTTCTGAGTTCAGGTACCATTTAGGGTTGCCATGTACCCAGTTTTCTACCAGAAAGTCCAGTCAAAGAAGGGACCCGGCAATGTCCGGTCAGATAAAAGCCAAGTTACCACAGGGTGGGAGGAGGCGCTGGGTCATTAGCCCGTGCCAGCCCCTGGGGTCCCAGGATCAGTGGGGATGGCAGCCATGAGGTGAAGTTTATTCCAGTAGCATTTGTCTGTTCTTTTTGTCTGTCCTTTCTTTCATCCTTTTCGCACAGAATCTCTCTTTTAAGGACCAAAAAAAGAAGTGATGGGTGAAATAGCCCATCCCCTCATTATTTTGTCCACCAATTAGGCCCAATATCTAACATACCAGTTTTGGCTCTTTAGCTTCCTGCTCCATATCTTTTAACAAGCATAATTTAAACACAGTCCTTGAATTATATTAACTTGGCCTTTTTGTTTAGACTAACTCAGTTATTCTGTCTCCCTTTTGTACCTTTTCCCATCAACATTTGTCTTTATAGCTCATGGTAACAACTTACAAACTTTTACACAGCTTTTACGGTGAAACTCACAATTCAGGTAAATTTGTAGGCCCAATTGTCATAACAGACCCTGGGTTGCCTCCATAGCCAGAGCTCCCTTTCCTAACCTAACTACAGAGATTTGGTCTCAGTAACTTCACCACTTCCAGAATTTTTGTGGGATTTCACCGATTCCATTTTAAATATCGTGACTTTGTAAGCAGGTAAAACTTTGTCATTAGACTGGAAATGAAGATTTCAGCATCAGCTTCTTTCCTGTCTCCTTGTCATCCATTCCATTGGCTGGTAGGGCTTTTAAAATGCTAAATAGTTCTAGGTGAATTTGCCATATTGTTTTCTGTGTTTCTGAGAACCTGCAGAAACAGAATTTTCTTTGTGTTTAGGTTTCTAGTGGTGAGAATTTCTCTGCTCCAGAGGTCCCATTTAACTAACTCTACATGAGAATTTAAACCCCTTTTCAGTGCACATTGACTAGATCTCAGGTCAGGATGTTATTCAACAAGCACAAGACAACCGTAGCTATGCAAGAGTATAATTGAAATAATGTGGTTTTAAGAGCTGTTACCTCATGAAGCACCACCAAAGATGGGGAGAACTTATATCTATTATTGGAAAGCTGGGATTGCCAGCTTTCCAGTGGAGGTATGCAATTAATTTCTATCATAAGTGGTTCACAAAAAAATACCTTGAAATAATTGCTCATTCACACCAGGAAAAAATACAAGCCATCTACCAAACAGATCAAGATGCTTTCAGCATCATAAGCGCTCTGTGCCATCTGCCTTTTTTATGAGTTCTGAGTGGATTATTGCTGCATTAAAGATGCTGAGAGTTGGTGCTAATCAGCTGGGCTCAAGGTCCAAGAGTAACACAAGTTCTACCTTGCAAACGGATTCTCATTTATTTCTTCTAATAGAACCCTATCCTTGGCCCATTAGCCATCTCGATCTGCTCATCTTTGGTTAATTTTCCTTCTCATTAAAACTGTTCCTTATAAACTGATTAAAATGTAAATTTAGAAATTTCACGTGTGCTGGTAATACCTGGTTTTACAACCAAAGTCAGAAACTCGTCCCAGGTTAGTGGGGGTTTTCTTCTAGAAACTGACTGTCAATTTTTAATTAAGCATTTCAGTATAGTTACTATAATATAATTAAAATAGTTAAGGACTCCATTGTTTTCTCTCAGTCAATTAACATAATGGTATTTGGCATTGCACTTTAAAAATATATTGAAGCAGCTACAGATTATGCTGCCTAGTGGGAAGGAGTTGGGCAGACTGCTCCTTTCCTGAGGAGGAGGGAATGTGAAATTAATACAAGTTTTAGTGATGAAGAAATCCACACCCTCAGCCATGACCGAAGCTGTTCAGACATCCAGGTGTTTTCCCATGGCAGCTATAGGCCATAACTTTGTGGTCACATGACTTGTTTCACATAAGAAATTACTGAATTTGTCTCATCTCTTCTCTTTGTCTTCAAGGAATTGTTTCATCAGCGAAGCGCACAGGGATTCCGGCTCCTCGGGAAATTTCATCAACTGTCTCCAGAGAGAGAGCTGTGTTGCGTGGTCCAGCCAACACCAGGAAAACTCAGCCCAGCCCAACTTCTTCTGGCACACCCACGCCTACCAAGCACCTGCGTCCTTCTGCCAAATCCAAGCAAGAGAATGAAACTGGGGACAAGGCAGTTCTGGAGTCCCAGGTTAAGGAACTCTTGGCAGAAGCAAAGACGAAAGACACTGAAATCACCAAGCTCCGGAGTGAGCTGAAGAAATGCAAAGATAAAGGGTCAGTTAACTCTGAAGGGATTGGTGCTTCAGACCAAAACTTAGAAACCTTACCATTGTCACCTGGTGACATTGACCCATTAATACAGACTCTTCAGGAAAAGAACAGGACTTTTCAAAAAGAGCTTGCTAGCCTGGTGGAAGAAAACCGGGTTTTGAAGGAGAAACTGATTTATCTAGAGCACTCCCCTCTCTCGGACACAACAACAAGCAGTGGGGGTGACAGCAGCTTCACAACCCCAGTCACTCAAGAATCAAGTTTTGGAAGCCCAACAAAAAATCTATTGAGAGGTGAACCGGATGAGCCCAGACAGCGTGTGAATGGAGAAGCAGTGCGAAAGTCAGGTTCTTCTAGCAGTGATGTGACTAAAGCCTCCTTGTCACCCGATGCATCTGATTTTGAACATATAGCAGATGTACCTTCTAGGCCAACCTCCTCCAATAGCAACCCCTTCAAGGGTTCCAGATGCTCCACCACAGGGAGTTCTCCGAACAACATTAGTGACCTTTCTGTGGCCTCCCTGACGGAGAAGATACAAAAAATGGAAGAAAACCACCACAGTACAGCAGAAGAGCTTCAAGCCACTTTGCAGGAGCTGTCAGACCAGCAGCAAATGGTGCAGGAGCTGACAGCAGAAAACGAGAAGCTAGTGGAAGAGAAGGCTCTGCTGGAGACCTCCTTTCATCAGCACAAAGAGAGAGCAGAACAGCTTAGTCAGGAAAAAGAAAAGCTGATGACTCTCCTACAAGAGCGATCCAAGAATGAAGAAACCAAAGTTCAGGAGGGGAAAATCCTTGAACTGGAGCAGAAATGCACAGAATTGCTTGAGAAAGCACAGTTTGAAAGAGAAAAGCTGCTCAACATCCAGCAACAATTATCCAGCAGCCTAAGGAGCTTAGAAAGGGAGCACCAAGATGCTCAGGAGGTGATCAAGGGCCTGAGATCGGAAAATGAGACGTTGGGTGGGCTTTTAGAAATGGAACGACAGAACAGCAGCATGGTGGCAAAGTCTCTAGAGGACTGTAAAGTTGCCTTAGAAGGCCTGAAGATTGAAAATGGATCTCTCAAAACTCAGTTGGACAGTGAGAAACAAAAAGCTGCAGAGATCAATGCAATGGGATGTACCACTGACAACTCTGGGGTGCAAGAGATGTTGAAAGTGGCCCATGCAGAGAAGGATCAGTTAGAACTGGCTTGTACAGAGCTCAAACAAGAGCTGCTGAAGGCAAACAGTGAAGTGAAACATGTCCAGGGTCTACTGGCCAAGGTAAGACACAAATAGATTCACATTCAATGTCACCATATGCCCGCCCTCCCCATCAACCAATTAGTGGTTTCTTCATGAGACAAAGACCAGTAATGAAGTAGAGCTGAGTTCATAGTGAATAATCTAATCCATTCATTTTTTCCTTTGACAAACGTGTAGGTAATGTAGGAATTTTTGCAAATTTATTCACTCAGAATTATTTGCGGACTAATTCCTGGTCTCTAGATCATTTATGAGCAGTTCACTGTGAGTACTCAAGATTTGAAATTTGAGTTACACTAGTTAGTTTTTGATTGGATTCATAAGTTACATGATATTGGGTCTATTTCCTGATTGAGCAAGCATAAATTCCTAGTATCAGGTTAGTGTACTCAAAGAGAACTACATTACTGATGGTTAGTGAACAGCAAATTTTAAAGTCAGGCTGAATCATGGAACCAGTTGGTTTACCAAGTAGTGAATCAGATGACTGATCCTACCAGTTATACTGACATGAGAACAAAGGGTCTGATCTTGCATTCATTAAAGTCAATAGCTTCAAGTCAGTTGACTCAAAATGATGCAGGATCAAGCCCCAAATGAGATTTTATAAAAACATGAATATGATAATATTGGATCATCCTACTGAATTCAGATACGAAGTATCAGCTAGCACATTAGCAATTGTATATGCTTTTGTCTCAAACGGAGTGTAATCTGTTTGAGGACTAAATCCTGCCTGGTAGAGAAATTGACTTGATGGTCTGATTGGTCATTTCCATTTTTAATTAGTATGGTCCTATTCGTGGAAGGTCTTTGTTTGACTTTTACTGATGTGCTTTCATCCAAGACAGTAGGTCTCCTCTGCCTTTCAGGGTGCTTGGGTGGTTGATAGATGAGGTAAAGGAATTTCAAGGGAAGAATAATGTAGTGGTCCTGAATAGTATCTGGCAACATAGCAGTGGTGTAGTTAGCACCTTGCCTTGCGGGAATTAACATATAGCCTGCTGATGTGAGTCCATGACTCCACTAACATGGGGCAAGGATCCCAAGTTGTCTCTATATGACAATTGGTAGAGACAGAAAAGTCCTGTTAGATAACTGAGTACATCCTGCTGCAGGGCAGAAAATAATGTCCTTGGCACTGCCCATCTCTTCTTCCCTCTCCCCCCCACCCCTAAGTCCTATATGTTGTTAAACTGTTGTAAAGCTGACCCTAACTGACGTTATTCGTGCACTGTTTGGGATTCCAGACCAATTCTTTAAATGCCATGTCACGTGTGATGTTTTACAAAACTGAAATCAAGCGCTGTGTGTTGGAGTATTGAATGGCTACAGAAACAATTTGTTTTAGAGCAGCTTTCCCTCTCCTAGTTCTGTAGTTTATCGCTTCTTCCCCTTACCCTCAGTCCCCTGCAATTCTAAATCATTACTGATTCCATTTTCCATCTGAGCCCAGTTGTTCAGAGTGTAGCTGCACTGTTGGGTGTCACAGAGCAAGTGTAACTATAATGCATGCGTCTGATTAATGTCCACCACTGCAGAGAGAGCTCCAGTGTCTGCCATGGTTCCTGGCCAGGGGAGGGGATTGTGGGGAAGAACTGCGGAACTGACTAGTTGGAGAGGAAGTGAGCGTTGCCAAAAAGCACCTCTATAGTTTGAGTGATTTAGGAAATCCAGATGTCCTTTCAGCTGGAGTAGGTGACCACAGCAAATGAAATACAGTAGGGGAGACTCCCTAATGCTTTGGCGTGTTCACTGGGGCTATGCTTTATGAAGAATAAATGAAAAACTGCTGGATGCTCCGACTCTGCACTAAATTTGTATTGCTTTTTTTTATTGCTTGATTTTTAAACCACAAATTTCCGCCTTTTTACTCTTCCCTTCCATTGAATTAGGTTGTTTTGTCATTTGTGACACCCAGACAAGACCACAGGCTTCTCTTCGGCTTCCCAGAACTGGCAGCATGTGCCTCAGTTTTCCAGAACCCTGTTTCCTACTTTGAGAGGCTCGCAGTTCCCTTGTCCTTGGAAGCACTGCTGTTGATATCTGTGCCTAAACTGACCAGCTGAACTGCAGTGTATTCACACCTTTAGTAATTCCTGACGCAGTATGTCTGGGAAGTGCATTTACCCTGGAGCAGCCAGCTCTACCATGTACATCCTGGCAATCCACTGCAAATGCTATAAAGAGGCAGCAGTGAAATGGTTAATGTAGACAAACGGGTCTGCTTCTAGGCCCCACGCTAGCTCTGTCACTCTCCTAATGTGCCATAGTAATGGACTGGCTAGGGGCTTTGAACTTTCAAGAGGAGGCCTTGCGCTATACCTTGGCTGCAGTGATTGATTTAGAATTGTAATTTCTCTCCCATATAGCAGCCTTAATTTCCTCTCCTGCCCCTTCCTACTATTACCTTTCTGCTGTGAGAAGAGTGTTAACAAAGCACAGTTCCTTGAGCTCACTGTCAGGTGCGTTGGAACTCCTGAGTTGTGCAGTGCCTAGAACGTTCAGTGGGTCTGTCTTATTGTCAGTGAGCTCAGAAGCGAGGGCAGACTTCCAGCTTTCTTTCCTTCCTTCCAGGTGGAGAAGGAATGTGGTCAGCTGAAGGAGCTGTATGACCGACAGGCTGAACAGCTGAGCAGAACCAGCCTGAAGCTGCAGGAGAAAACTTCTGAGAATGAGTCTGAGATCAAAAACCTGAAGGAGACCATCTTTGAGCTGGAGGACCAGGTGGAGCAGCAACGTGCTATCAAACTGCACAACAACCAGCTCATCAGTGACCTGGAGAGTAGGTGGAGCAGGCCCAGAGCCAAGGCTGAGGCACAGCCTGCAGTAGTGCAGGGAAGGGAGGGTGTCTAGAGAAATTCCCACTTCGATCAGTCTCAGCAATGTAGACTGCAGTCTGCACAGGGCAGGGACTTGTGTGTGTTGTGTGTAGTGTGTAAAGCACTACACGTACGCATGGCGCTGTAGAAATAATAGTAATGAAAATCTCCAAACTCTCTATCCTACAGCTGAATGGAATATTGCCCATATCCAGATGTTGGCTTTTAAACTGGGTTTATTGTCTTTCTTCGTAAAATATTTCAATATCTGGTGATATGGGCTATATAAGAGCTAGGTGGCGGTGGTGGTGTTATGGGAATGGAAAAGTGCCACCTGCTGGCATGAGTTGCACATTTCACTTTCTAAACTTTTTATCTAGAGTTGGGAACCCCAATGAATATGTAATGTGTATACAGTCCTATAAGCTTCCATATCTGGGACAAAGCCCAGAACATGGTTATTCAATGTGAGGGTGTTTCTGACTGTTAAATCCACTGTCTCCTAGAGAAGTTTGGTTCAGTAATGGCTTTTACCATGGGTATCATCAAGGACGCTGCTTCCCTCTCCCTTACCCTTCCCACTCCCATCACGTCTCTAATAGTTTTCCCCATCTTGACTATTTGCAGGTAACGTGATGAAGCTAGAAGAGCACAAGCTGAATCTGGAGAGGCAGCTGAAGGGTCTGACTAAGCAGATAAAGGTGATGATCAGATTCCTCAGCATGGTGAAGGCAGCAGCTGAGTTTTCATCTGAATGCTGGCTTTGAGCCAGGCACCACATTTCATTTCAGAAGACTCATCTCCTGGCTATCAAAATATCTTTAAAAAAAAAAAAAAGGCCTCCCCTACTGCCTCCATTCACTGTCAGCGGAGTTTGACTTTCTCTATGTCTGAGAGGGAAAGTACAATCCAGGCTGATCTGATAGCAGTGTCGCTGCTTGGCTGGGCAGCACCTGGCAATACATTTATTGTTTAGAGGCATCAGTCTCTTTTCAGATCCCATAAGCCCCTGCCAGACCAGGATTAATAAGCCCAAGTCTATATCTGAAGCAGGCCTCTACGTCTGCGTGAAGCAACATTTAACAGGCCCAGAAGATCTGCCTATTACATTAGCATCTAAGAAACACATATCCTACAAGCAAGTAATAATCCTTGGCACCTAGGTAGCACATTACATTTCAAAGCTATGTACAAATATTAACTAACTAATATACAGAGAAAAGTTTTTAAATAACTGTGCTACTGACCATCCCAACAGGCAAAGCCCATTTGCTGATGCTGATAGAACAAGCTTGCTAACGTTCTGTTACTGACCTAAAGAAGACATGTTTCTGTCCAAGTGTCTGTGTTCCATATAAAAAACCATCCCAGGCCATCAGTCCACATGCAGATGTCCTACTGACATCACTAGGACATTTATGTCAAGATATGGCCCTTCGGCTCCAGCTGTGATTTCCAGAGTAAATATATGCACAAACCAAAAATGCTGGAACTGCCAACTCCACCTGATACCTGAATATCAGAGCACATCCTTTCTGCTTTATTCAATTCCTTTCTCCCCAAAGAAGGGGAAGCAGGGGTGGCAGTCAATGAGGGAGCTGAGGAATAGGACGAGTCTCCTGTAATTTGCAGTGGTTTAGTCCAGGTCTCCAGTACACTTGTGCTTCTTTCTCCATGAACTTCCCCTGCTTTGGGATGGCCAGTGCTGTATAGCTGATGATGGGACATGAAGCAGAAAGGAGCTCCTCTTTCCACAGCAATATGTGTCCTCCAGTGCTATCGCAACCCTAAGATTGTTAGAGAAGTGGATAATGGTAATAAGTAGTCCGCTTACTTTTTCAGATGGAAAAGGTAACACAAATTAGTGTCAGTTCTTTTTTTGGCAATCCTGTCATTACCAAATGGCACACATCTGTTGCGACCTCAGTCTCGTCATGAAACTCTGACACGCCACAAAAGTGATCAGTGATCACTGAGAAAGAGATTTGCAATGTGTGATGTGCCCATTTCTAGTAGGGACATTCCCCACAGTGCTCAGCCCATATTTGTACTTGCCCTTTCTAGGAAGATGCAGAGGAGTGGAGGCGTTTTCAAGCTGACCTACAGACTGCAGTGGTGGTGGCCAACGATATCAAGTGTGAGGCTCAGCAGGAGCTGCGGGTGGTGAAGAGGAAGCTCCAGGAGGAAGAGGAGAAAAGTGCCAAGCTGCAGAAGGAGCTGGAGGAACTTCAGGGCAGCAGCAGGTCAGTCGCTCACAAGGGCCGAGTCCTTGTCTCTATGGCAGCTAATGTGCATGCAGACGCTGCTTTGCCTCTAACTTTGCATTGACCCAGATGTGTATGTTGTCTGTTTTTAATCCCTCTGGCAGGTTTTGTCTTCTTTTAAGTTGTCTCTGGTTTTGTCTTTCTTAGGTGCTCTCCAGTTCCCCCAACTGGGCCATGAGTTTAGGCTTTGTAAGGGTTACCTAATGACTAGATGCCCTAAGGTTTTCAGCTGTTTGTGTGAGTGACAATGATCTTTATACACAGAGGAATATGATTAAATAAAAGTGGTCACCAGTATTTATCCTGCAGCTTTGTCCTTTGGACTCTGTTGTGCAATGTATTATTGCCTCCATAACTGACTGCACAGTTGGGTTAAGCCCCTTGCTGTTTTGCAATGACGCTAGGATGGCTGAACATATCTCATGGGACAAGCTGAAAATTAGCTGCCTATTTTGAGATGAAAACCTGGGTTGCACTGTTGTAGGCAAAAATAGGGACTTGCTGGACCTTTGCTTTCCGCAAGTCCAGTACATACTGACTGAATGGTTGATGAGAATATTGGGAAATCCTCACCCTGGGCAGCAAGCCCTTGATGGGGATCCCCTCTCCTGCCCCCCAGTTTTGAGCATAGTAGAATGATCTGAGTCTGATCCCTCTGTGAAAGTTAACATTTCACCCAGAAGTAATTTTACGTTCTGAGAACATTTAGGGTATGGTTGGGATAGTCTCATGGGCTTCAGTGTTGCTAGATTCAAGTTAGTCCTTCACCCCAACCCTTGGATTATCACATGCACTTTAAAATAATCGAGAGATATGCCACGTGTTCTGTGAGCAGTATACACTGTGCTCACTTTCGAGGAGGCAACCACTTTGCATGTAAGGGCAGGTGTGAGTTAAGCAGTAGGAGCTGGAAGCAGCTTAGGGCCTTGTTATCAGGATTTTCATGCAGTGCAAGGTATTTTGTGAAGCATCTTTCATTCCAAAAAGTTTTATAGTGCTTAGTAGTACAATTACAGAACGGAATTGAAGGACCGTTGGAAATGAAGACGTGTAGGAAAGAGGGCTGAGATTTAAAAAGAGGGCAGTACCACAGATTCAGAGCTGCAGAGGTTATATCTGTACAGAGCCAATGAAAAGAGAGCTGCACAGCTAAGGGAGGTAGGGAAGGAAGTCACTTACCAAAAACGTCCCAGGTTTGCCCTGCTTCCCTACACTCCCACTGAATCTCTCTCCCCGAATAAGGCCATGGAAACTGAATGTGGCAGCCATTGGAATACAATGAGTTCTGCCAGTTCTTTCAGGGGTAATACAGTGAAGCTTGTACTGCTCATATTGTCTCGATATTTACCATGCAATAGCTTCCGAAGTAGCCATTGCACAGAGGGGATGGGGTGGGAGCGGCGAGGGATCAGGGAAGGCTTTGTGGGGGAGGGTGAATCACAATTCCTGCCTTAAATAGGCAGAAATGTTTTTTAAAAGAACGTGTTTAAGATCCAAGTTCAGTAATAGGGTCCCTGATAAGTGTGGAATGGAAAGCTACCAGCAAATACATTTTTAAAACAAAAGGAAGACAATCAAATGATCAACCAAGACTCTCATTCTGTGCTCTGTGTTTCCATTGCTAGTGTTGATGGCATCACAGATGCTGAGAGCAGGATGAGGAGCACAGCTCCCAGTTAAAGCTGGGTGAACAACTGAGGTTTCAGTTCTCTGGAAGTTCCGAACAATGAAACAAAACATAAAACCAAGAACCAAAACAGAAAATTGAAAAGTCGATCTCAACCAAAATTGTTATCAAATGAAATGTTCCATTTCCAGGCACTCTTTAAAAATAAAAGCAAAGGAGGAGAAGCACTAGATTCACAGAATAGAGGAGGAAGAGAGGGTGAAGGTGTTCCTTATTGCCTTTAGCTCAATGGTAAGGGCACTCCCTTGGCCTGCCGGGGCCAGGGTTCAATTCTTCCCTCTGCCTGATATGGAGCAGGCTTTGGAATTTATATCTCCCGCATTGCAAGGGAGTGTCCTAACTGCTGGACTGTGGGATATTCTGAGGAAGGTCTCTCTCAGGCCTAATCTACACTTACAATTTAGGCTGACATAGCTAAATCCCTGAGGGGTGTGAAAAACTCCACCCCCTATTGATGTAGTTATGCCAACCCTGGCCCCCAGGGAAGATACAGCTAGGTGTCAATGCTTCTGCAGAGCTCGCTCAGGGAGGTGGGCCTGTGCCAGTGGAAAAACCCCTTCCATCAGCATGGGCTGAGTCCACTATGGGGTTATGCCCGCAGAGCTCTGGCGCCAGAGCCATACTGCTATACTCCCTCTCATGCTGAGGCCGTTGTACTTTAATAGTCATTGGGCCAGCGAGAAAGAGTGAGAATATCTCTGTACCTGGTGGTTATGGCACTCACCTGAGAGATGAGACTCAAGCTCAAGTTCCTGCTCCAATAACTATTGGATCATTTATACACAGTGGAACAGTTTCAACAGGAGAGACTGAGGAGACCAGTGGTTCGGGCACTCTCTCCTGCAATGCAGGAGACCCAAGTTCAGAGCCCTGCTCCACATCAGGCAGAATGAGAAATTGAACCTGGGTCTCCATATCCCAGCTGAGTGCCCTAACCGCTGGGCTAAAGGTTATAAGGTGGGCACTGCCCCACCACTTCCTCCTCCTCCTCCTCCGGCTGGTTTTGGAATAGTGTCTAAGGCCCAAAAATGAACATTTTGACCAAAACTATTTGGTGAATTCTTGTTGTATTTGCAAATAGTTTCAGATCAACTGAAACTACATTTCTTGATGAATAAACTATTTGAAAAATTCCACCAGCTTTCCTCCCTGGCCTACTTTAGACCTTAGTCCTGTTGTAACCATGAGAGTCAAGGGAGGTCATTGGAGGTACAGAGTCTTTCAGTTCCCATCTAAAGAAAGAAGTAACTTTGAATGTAAAGGTACGGCAGGAGAATGCTTGTTGGTTTCAGAAGTGGGCTGTTATCTCCCAAGGATTTGGAATGTGGCTGCATTGTTATAGCTCTCAGGGTGAGGTGGATCAGAGCCTCAGACAAGTATGCTTCCGTTAAAACCAGACCCCTGTAATTCATACATGCAAACATTTCCAGGAGGAGAGAGTCAGACAGGCTACCATGCCTGCTGTGGGCATGATAGGAGCATCCAGCCAAGGCAGGAAAAGAAATTTGAGTCTAAGCCAATTCCCCAATTACATGCTTTTAATTAAGAAGTCAATTCTGTGCTATGCTTTTTATATATATATGGTTGTCTCTGTTCGCCTGTCTGTCTGTCTAGCTTCCTTGTTGTTGTACTACTTTGGACATGGAACCTGAAATACGTTCTGCAGTGGACAGCATAAATTCTCTTCAAAAGGCAGGTGCCAAGCTGAGATTCATATCCTCGCTAGTGAAAGTTTCTGCATCTGTTACCCTCTAATGTAATAGATTTGAATGGGGATCACTCAGTGTCCCAGCATAGGTCATTGTAGCCAGAACTGCAACACAGAATGGCATGTAGGAGCCAGAGAATCCATTCTAAATTGGACCCTAAAACAGCTGGCAGTGAAATTTTAAAACTTTTACTGACTCTTTATTAAACCAGTCCCTGAAGTCTGTGGGGCTACTGCTGCGAACTGGTGTTACATCCAAATTACCCTCACATTCCTTGGGCCACTGTTCATGCCCAGCAACACGTCCTCTTTTACCTGAAATTCCTGGGGTGAACTCAATATTGCTCCAGTCAAAGTCCCCAAGGGCCACTGGCCAGAACCAACACTGAATTCTATTCCATGCAGTGACTTGTAACACATGCTAGGCACTAGCAGGACCAGTCTGGAGCATGTGACACGTAAATGAGATCTATAAAATATCCCTCACGTTTACTAATACTGAGCAGCTGTGCATTAAGCAGAATGTCAGACGATCCCCCGTGAAAGTTTCCTGTCTGATTTTAAGCTCCATTGGAGAAATGCACCTTCCAAAGAGTTTGCTGCTCAAAGGTTTTTTGACAATAGCTCAGCCGTCTCTGGGGGCTCGTTGGAACCCACATTGTAAACCAAACCTCCTAAGAGATCCTGGTTGTTTTAGTATTTGCCTGTGGCTGCCTGAGTTCCTGACTCCAGCTAAGTTTGGTTTCACCTTTACGTTTTTCTAATCAGACAAAGTCATTTTTGGTTCAGGAACAGCCAAAGAACTTGCAGAAAATGCCCTGATGGGGTCATCAGAGTCCATCTGAATGAAGGTAAGAGCCTCTAAAGGGCATCTTTAACACAGAGTAACTGTATAATTCTGTGATTAAGAATGTTGGGAGGGGGGAGGAGCTGGACAATACTAAGGCAAAGAAATGGGGTGTGGAAGGGAGAAGTTCACTTAATACCCTGGCCTGAAATAAATCTTAGTACTTGTCCTAAGAAAATACCAACTGAAACATACAAGTCATAGGTTGGGATTGGAGCCTTTTCTGACATTCTACACACAGATTAATAGTCTTGCTCAGGCATAAAACCCACAAGTTTTACAATACACTGTTGCACAACGCTCTCTCATCCACTCAGAACGTCAATTAGTGAAGGTCTAACTTCTGTTAGCTGCTTTATAGTCAGAGATGTCAGCAATGGAAAAGACCTGCTAGATTTAATCTAGAACACTCCCAAAGGCAGCAAGTGGCTGTAGAAAGTACCTTAGTTTAGTGTGGCCTGATTGACCTCCATACACACTGACATTCCAGGCCTGGTCTGTTAATGCTGTGGCTAGCAGAAGTGTAGGGGTGAGACCTCATTCTCCTCTTCACGTTGGTGAAGTTACCCTGCCAGCCCACGTGTCCTGCTGCGTGCACAATGGGAGGATAATACCATATGCCTCAAACCAATCCCATGAAAGAAACCTTTGGTCCAAGAGGGCTATGCTGAAGACCGAGCAGTTATTCCCACAATTAAAAGAGCCGCTTTCTAGAACAAAAGAGATCTAACCAACTG